TTCAGGGATGCACTGCAGCTTAAGCGCCCAAACCCACGCTAGATGGCGGGCATGGTCAGCGATCCCGCGCCGTGCGTGCCAGAGACACGACACTGGATCCTCTAGAACAGCCATCGCTACCAGCCTGGCTCCTTCTTCCGTCTGCTGGTGCGAACCCCTCCGATCCATTGTCCTACCTGATGCCGTCCCGCGGAAAGCAAACGGCTGCGCGGCCCTCCAATGTGTAGGTAAGCAGCCCCTTGGCATCATCTATTCACCCAGCATTAGTTCCTCGCATGGCGAACGTTGCTGCAGACGACTAGGCCAGGCCTCCATGAGACGCTAATGCACCCTTCCTCAAAAGGCTCCATCAGGTGCTTGGAGACAGCACAAGTGTGCGGCACAGTCACGGTGCCCTCCCACCGTTTGCTCTGTCTCCAGTCTGGCCCCATCGACATCGACGTGGCGGCCTTGCATCAAATGAAGACCTGCGTGGTGTGATGACTTCCTGCTCGCAACGGTCCGTCGACACATGGCATCCCAAGAGCCTCTTCTTGCTAAATCTGTAGGATCGTCATCGGTATCGCTCTTCCACTAGTTCATCTCCAGATTCCCCAAGCGTATCAGCGTCCCCGGCTACCATGGGCTCGGATGCTTAGATTGGCCAATCGAATCCCCAACTTTTCGACTGGGACACGAAAGCACACATTTTTTCTCCCACCAACCTACCACAGCTCACGCCGCGCGTATCTTCAATAATCCCATTAGTCTGGCCTACAAGCAGCTACCTGGTCCATGTCCACCTTGACAATGGCACCAGCTGCCCTTCTTCGTGCGACCTGCGCCGCTTCCGCGTTTGACATTAGCCGCGCTCAAGGCGGCTTGCTAATAAGCGCCGTGGAGCACAGGACATTCTTTCGGCCTTTGTCTAACCGACAGGTACAATCTCTTAGATGACTGACAGGAGGCTGCAGCTACGGCCTGCATAACTCATGCACACAGGTCTGTGGCCGATCGGAACGTGCCTTTCGACGCCAACTACACAAAATGCTGAGTATATCGGCGACGTTGGAACCAACACAAATTCATGCGCAGGGCACGCTACAATAGTCGACGAGCAATGGCATGGCTCTGAAGAAGGTGTCTAACATACTCGGTGCCCCACTCTGCGCCGATAGCTTTTGTGTATACACCCAACCGAAGCGACCCCGCTCTCACGTTATCGGCGCTTACTCTCGTCGTTTCTTTGGCAAATCTCCCCACCACCAACGACATCTAGACTTATTCGGATAATGGCATTCAGATAGTCCGGTGCATCCGGAGTCATGATACTGGGCGGCCTGAAAGCGATCCCTACTAGCGACTGCCACGCGATATCCCAGGATGCTGGTACGATGGCTACCCGAAAAGCGGGCATTCATTCCTGGATATCGTGCTGGAAGATGAGTTCCTGGGCCAAGTCCACCAACAATGGCAATCATGCACATGTCTCAATCTACAACTACTCGGATAAGGGCCGCTATATTGGCTCTTGAAGTGTTGTGCATCCCACCAACAGCTGGATTGCCTGGTACGAAGCAGCTCATTGTTTCCCCAAATGTACCCAAGACTAAAGGGCGCTTTAGGTTTGCTATTGTAGATGCACAAGACACAATAGTAGGATCAGTCGAGCGCCCTTTGTTGTCCAGGGCATCGTTCGAAAAAGCAACCCTTCGTAGTGTCCGTTTCCTCAATACTAAACCAGACCGATGTTGGCTTCTTAGGCCAACATGGGCGTCCTCACCGCTCAAAAGGTAACGCAAATCGCAATGGAAGAATTTGAAGCCACCATTCTACCCGTGACGCTATCCACAGCATGAAATCTCCGAGGGGCTTAGCTCTTCGAATCCTCCCTCCCGTGCCGGGCGCTTCTGCAACCCATGAGGTGCTTTCGGGCGCACGTCAGCCTTAAACGAGCATGCCAACGCCTCAGAGTCAAACACACGATTTGTCACAGTCTGCCTTGGGCAAACAAAATGAATGTACAGCCCTGTACGACTGACGCTGTGCGGCAACAAGGAGGCTCAATGTTGCACCACATCTTGGACAACATGACCGCACGCCTCTGACCATCACCAACGAGTGTACACACAACATGTCTCGCCTGACGGTGCCAGATGTCGTAATAAGCCCCGGTCAACATTCGCTTATGCGACTGCGACGCACATGCTCTCACATACGAGTGTACGCTACATACAACGATAGGGAAAACATACCTGCCGCTACACAGATTCGTTGGGTTTACTCCTAGCTACAGCAAACGCGACAGCACATTGATAAAACTCGTGGACTGATGACATCTCCCGCTACATGATCTAAATCAACGATTGGGTCTACTGCATGTGCGTCAAAGTTACATCCAACGACTACAAACTTCGTACAAAGAGACGTACCATCTTTCTGCCACTTGTTTTGCCAGCTGCATGGTAATGCAAACCATGTACAATCAGCAAGACTGGTTTTTCACTGATTGCGACGTCGGCAGTGTATGCTCGTCTAATGTATATGATCTGGCACAAGTCTTCTCGAGCTAGAGTTGCCTAGCCGTTTACACTCTTGATAATGGGTGAAGGGGAAGCGAGATGTTAGCCAACGAGGCCGTGTTACCAGCCGCTCGGCTCAGACACCTGTTGTCGAGATCTTGCATCTTCCACCACTCTTCAAGCCATCACTTTCGCGCAAAGTCACTAGATTTACAGTCAATGCTGTCTACGCCTGGTATACATTGCTGCGATACTTGCTGACTACTTAGGGCCATGGACTGCTATCGATAACCATACTTTCCATCTCAGCCCGATGGGCCGCAGCCTGTCGATCCTTTCGCTTCAACGATGCACAATACAATTTGATACGCAACGCATCGAGAAGGTCCGACGTGCGTGGCGCTTTCATGGCCTCATTCGGGCGCTCGTTGCGGGGCGAGCTTTCACCGGTATCGTATTCGGACGATACTTTCAGCCTCTTCAGCTGGAAGCCTCGGCAGACCAGTCACCTTGTAGCCTAGAGGTATTCGCGCTCACAGCAAAGAACGTGAGCTGTCTTCCTCAGTAAAAAAGTCTCTCTTTCACAATCGAATCTCCTACTAGTCGCTCTCACAATACTCGAGTCACCAAGGTGACTTCCTGCACGAGTCATGCCTCTCGTTCGGCCCCCACCCCTTCCACCCCGACCATCCTCAGAATCAGCAACCCCGCAGACTAAACAACCCCCAGCCCTTGGATTGTGCAAACGATCAAACTTCACGCAAGGTCATAATGACTGGCTGCAAATCAAATCGCCAAGGGCCATCCCCAACTTCGACATTTGTCCGGATTGCTACAACACATCCTTCCGCAACACTCGCTATGGGTCCTTCATATCTGCCGGTCCCGCCAAACCAGCTAAGATGTCTGTTGTCTGCGATTTCTCGTTCCTGTGGGTGAGACTAGCCTATATGTGGTTGTTCCAAATGGGACAACCTGATTTGAGCTTACTGGGCGAAATCAGTAGCATTGATCCTGACAGGGATGGCATCTGCCCAAACTTCAACATGGAGGATCCAGTGGTCAAGAGTGGAGGAAGGCCCGAAGTGATTAGGACGTGGTACTGTCTACAAGACCCAAAGACCGGGTCGCTGGTCGAAGAGATGACGGCCTGTTCATTCTGCGTGGCGCACATAAACGTCCTCTTTCCCTGCCTGAAGCGCATATTTGCACCCATTGCGAACGGGCAAAGGCTTCTCGCTACCTGCGATCTAATGACGCAGGGAAATGGCCAACAGCGGTGTGTTGAGATTGTTGATCAGATGGCCGCCGTTGCGCAAAGTACTCTTGAAACGAAGACACGAGATATCACACCACTGATCGATTTCGTCAAAAAATGGGGTCCGGTCCCTGCCTGTCAACAAGGGAAATTGGTCTCAGGCCAAAAGCAATACAGCTTTCCTTCTGTGGTTCCAGAGTTCACCGCCTGCGAAGAGTGCTACGTTAGACACATCGAACCTCTCTACTCTCAGTCACCCCAACCAGCGATCCTCGCGCAGCTTGAGGAGCAAGAGGCAAAAACCGGAGGCTTCCTGTGTGATCTATTCTCCCCGCGTCTTCAATCCTACTTCACAGACGCAAGTCGTACAAACGACATCGCCACCTTCCGCCAAAAGCTCATGGCGCGGAACAACAAGATGCAAGAAATTGAGATTCAGCTTCGGCGTATGAAGCAGGAAATTGGGCAGTTGAAAGCGCAGGAGAGAATGCACAGGAATCAGATGATCGTGGCGCAGTCGCAGGCCAGAATCCGCAGTACGCAGTGGGCTGTCAGTGGCTGGAGCGCACCGCCGGTGAGTACTGAATCGGCTGGCATGTCGCCGTGAGAGGCTACGATGATGACTAACATCTATGCAGATTGATTGGGGCATAACAAACGTGGAGATGGCGAAAGCAAATGAGAAGGCGATGCAAGCGGCCATCCTCCAGGACAGCATGACGGATCTGGAAAATGAGTGGATTAGATACTGGAAATGAAGACAAACGGTCGTGAGAAGCGTGTGTTTTAAGACACCGCAAGCATTTTACATGGTCATCCTTGCTATCGGCATACATACTAAACACTCTCTCCATCTTCAACGCGCCTAACCGCAAACTCTCTCCTACAATTCGGACAAAGCAGACTCCCTAACATAGCCTCAATAAGACAATCCCTTCCAAACCGCTTCCCACAGCACCCCACCTGCTTGATAATCCCCCTACACCCATCCTCCCCCTCACCAAAAGTACCCCAGCAAAACGGACAACGGACATCATCTCGTATCGCCGTCTTGACGTCAACGGTAGCCAGAGAATCCACATAAGCAGGGGTAAACACCTCAATTGTCTCCGAGACCCGCGGTGGTTCATTCGTATTCCCAAACTCAATATAGGATGCAACCAGCCCCTGTATACTCTTTGTGAGCCGGTACATCTCCATGCCTTCTTTGAAAGTCTGCAGCGTCATAACGGCGTTGTCATCTAATCCAGTTTCCCGCGAATACCGTAGTATCGCCCGAAGTAACCCCACTTCCTCCAAAGTATAAGACAGTATGACCCCATCGGCCAGCGGAGGCGGGAACTGGTCTTCTGAATAGAAACCGATGTAGGGAGCGATGTAAGTAACATACGCCACTGATTTCTCAACGAGTTCCTCGGCGTAGGTGAACAGCGTCATGTTTGTCATGATTTCGGAGAGCCAGACTAGGGATTTGGATTGCTGGAGCGTGGTTTCGATGTAGGTTTGGGCGATGCCGGCGGCGGAGATGAAGTTGGAGAGGGTGAAGGTTAGAGGGGAGGTGGGGTTTGTGTCGTCTGATGGCCATGCGCCTGGCATGGGTAGTGGATGTTCGTAGCTCATTATGTTGGTTGGATTGGATCGTTGTTCGTTGGGTTGACAAGGGATGGAGATGTAGGGAAACGCTTATATACGTGAAGTACCAATTCGACCCCAGAGTGAAAGGTGAGGCAGAAGAGCTCGATAGGTATGTGAAGTTATACGACTCGTCTTATCGAAGAATAGTTCGGCCGCTGAGATGATCAGATGATTCAACTGAATTATCTACGCATTCTGCAGAGACATGGGAAGTCACCAGACAAGGCAAAGTCATGAAACGATCATATGTTGTAATGTTTCCATTTTATCCAAGATCGAACGCCTTCCCAAGCCCCCAAATGTCCCAATCCCAAGCGCATCAAGGCGCGGTGAATGTACAAATACAAAAACTCCCTCGAAAGACAATAGACCGAGTCCGTCTCTTCCCAATGTTCGTAAATATCATGAACTTCGTTGTCCATGGGACGCTCGAAAAGCCAGTTATTTAATTTCAACGCCTTGCAATGCTTCCGAGACGCCTCGCTTGCTGAATGGACAAAAAAGCCATGATGAGACCCAGTTGTACGCTTGACAGATGTTCCGAGGATAGATGTGGAGATTCCTTTCCCTGTGAATGAGGGAGAGGATCGCGTCACATACCCAAATACGAGATGTGATTACTTACCAACTTACCGTTGCGCGTAGAGTCGGATGAATGATACCAGCTCCATTGCGCAAGCCGGTAGTTGATGTCCGTGCTAGACACTTGTGATGCTTCTTGAGCCTAATGCTCCAACCCATATCTATGTGATACGAGCTCCTTCGTTGTCGAATGCAGAAACTTAGCGGATAGTCATCTGCTTAGTCGCACTGGGCTTCATGGAAGCAGAGCCGGCGGCGGCAACGGAAGGCTGACCGGGCTTCTTCTCGAAGATCTTCCAGAACTTGAGAGACTCGTCGGCAGCAGCGGTGGCGAGCATCTGACCATCAGGGCTGAGGCAGCTGTGAAGGACACGAGACTCGTGAGCGGGGACCTCCATGTTCTTGACACCGGAGGGGTAGCTCCAGATGCTCAGGCTGTTGTCGGGGAAGCCACCAGTGCTGACAATCTCCTTGTAGTGGGTGCTCCAGCGAAGGCTGGTGACTTGGGAGTCAGTGGGGATGTGGTTGATGCGGGCACCGGTGGTGGTGTTCCAGAAGTAGATCTGACGGTCGTTGGAACCACCGCCGGTGGCAAGCAGGTTGGATTGCCATGGGCACCATGAGACGGCCTTGACGGCAGCGCGGTGGTTGGTCTTGGTGAACTTGGGAGCAGCGAGCGCGCGCGCATCCCAGATGTTGACCATGTTGTCGTTGGCACCAGTGGCAAGCTGGGCACCATCGGCGCGCCACTCAAGACCGCAGACCTCTCCAGTGTGCGAGACGAGCTCGGCGATCTTGTGTTGAGCGACGCGGACGTCATGGTTGTAGACAAGGCCGGAACGGGCACCGGTGGAGAGGATGTGCTTGTTCCATCCCATAACACCAACGCGGGTCTCGTGACCGAACATGCTACGCAGCTTGGTCTGCTCCTCAACGTCCCAGATCTGGACCTCACCCGTGCCGAGACCGACACCAACGTAGGCACCATCGCCGGACCACTTGACGGAAGAGATGTAGGTATCGGCGGGGCACTCGAGGAGAGAAGCGACCGACCCGGAGTCAGCTGACCAGACGTAGACTGAGCGCTCAAGACCGATAGCGACCTGGTTGCCGGAGGACCAGTCGAGAAGGTTGAGGTAGTAGTCATCGACAAGACCGGGAGCATCAAGGACGCGCTCGGGTGCTGACGGGATGCGACGGCGGCTCTGTGCGTTGACGCTGCTGCTGGGCTTGAGAGGACGGTTGTACTGGGAGCGAAGGTCGATGGGCTTGGACGACTCGGGCGGCGCAGGCTTGAAGGCAAGAATGCGAGTGTTTGTGTTGATGCCACATGCTGAGGCAAGTGTGGACTGGTATGCAGCTTGGCTGGGAGCTGGCTTGGAGCGTGATCGGCTCTCCTCCTCCTCGTCCTCAAGGCTCAGGCCCTCGAGGGACAATGTGACATCCTCCTCTGAACCACGGCCACCGAGATCGAAAGCACTTGCGGCGTTGGCAAGCACGGTCGAGCCCTCCTTCTTGGAGCTTGACTTGGGGCGCTGTTCAGCGTCGAGCTTGCTGGCACCGACGCTGCGGATAGCCTCGCTTGCCGTCCGGTTGGGGATGAAGCGGTCGGCCGCGTTGTAGGCAATGCGCGTCTTGGTAGGGCGAGCACGGATGGCAGCCGCCTCCTTCTTCTCCTTCTTGGCCTTGGTGGCGGCAGTGGTACCGGATCCAGTGAGGGCCCATTCAGAGACACCGAGTTCTAACCGGCGAGGAGTGTGTGTGTGGGAGCGAGCAATGTTGGACTTGGGGGAGTCGCGCGTCGTCTTGGTGACGGAGCGCTGGATGCGCGACTTGAAGTCGTTGCCATGGATGGACTCGTGTGCCTGCACATCGGGAGTCTGGGTGCGCGGGGTGCGGGGAGAGGGCGTCAGTGGCATCCGACCGCCGGCGGTGCGGGTGTTGAAGACGGCAGAGCGCTTCTTGACCGGAGTCACGCAGACTGCGGTGCTTGCCATGACTGCTAGCTAGTCTCCCACTGGACTAGGGTTAGTTGGATTCTTAGTACATAGGACGTGGTGGCATACAGTATGTGGGCTGGTTTCTGCTATATGGTGTAAGGATTAGTATTAGACAATGCTGTAATCGATGCTGTGAAGTATTGATTCGAAAGTAATTGAGTGATTCGCGCTCTGGAGAAGAAGATGCAGGGCAGTGCGGATGGTAGAGTGCGTGGTAGTGGATATGCAGAGTGGCAGGTATGGGGGCGTTTAAGTATCCTTTGTTTACGCTTGCGTTGACCAGGTAACGAGGACGGGACCCTGCGCGAGGCTGGCCGGACGACCAGGACGCATGACATCACATGACGGTGCTCGACCCTCGCCGGCATCGTAGTCTATCCGGTTTGTGAAGCCGCATGCATCGTCGTCGTGTCGATGCCGCCGCCTGCATGGCCTTGCTTTTACCGCTGCATCCATGATGGCGATGGCTTTATAGCGTCTACTCTGGTGCCAGGCTGCGACGCACTTCAGCAGTCTCTCAGTCCAGCAACATCGCACAGCCACTCACTAATCACATATTGTAGCATCTGCCGTGGTGCATTAATCTGCTGCAGCTGTCCAGTGGCCAAGTCTCGGAGTGGCTCGCGCTGTCCGTGTCGGGCACAGGGCTGAGTCGTCGTGGGTCGGCGCTTCCGCTTTCCAGGCTCGGGCGGTGAGGGGCGGCAATATGCACGGCCAGCCAACTCAACTTCCTCCGTCAAACATTCTCCCAGCCTAGACAAAGGCCACTTCTGCCCACCGGGGCTGCTACCACGAACCAGACCACGCTATTCACCGTTCACTATCCATGGCACAAACATCCGCTCGATCCGCTTTCCCGTCCAACATCCTCAACCCCGCCGTCACCTCTACACCCTCGCCCAGCCACTCGCACTCGAACACGCCGGGATCCGCCAGCTCTGCCAACAACACTTTCCTCATGTCTGCGAGCCCCGTCCGGAGCCGCAGATCAGCCGTCGAAGGCTACAAACCGAAAATGATTTCGACAATCGGCGCCAAGCCCGCCTGCCTGGTCAATGCCTCTGTCACTTATGTCGGCGATGATCAGATATACGCCTTTGGAGGCTTCGACCAGTATACCGACGAGGTGTACAACCACGTCCTTCGCCTCAACCTCGTCACTCGACAATGGAATCTGGTCGACAACTACGGGGACATTCCGGGCGTACGAATGGGTACGTGCTCACCGCTCTATCACCAATGCTACTTCCGTCGCAACTAACCAAACGCTTTAGGACATACCGCATGTCTCTGGCAGGGCAGCAAATTGCTCGTCTTCGGTGGTGAGAATGAGCACCGTCAACACCTCGCCGACGTCATCGTATTCGACCTGAAGACCGCCCACTGGACGCAGCCCGAACTCCATGGCCCAATACCTCGCGGTCGCGCTCGTCATTCGGCCGTCATATACGACGATAAGCTATACATCAGCGGTGGTCAGACAGGGCACGACAGTGTACTAGACGACATCTGCTATCTCGACCTCAAGACGTGGACCTGGTCCCGGACATGGAGGTTCGTTCCTCGTTACGATCACGCCAGCTGGATCTGGAACGGTCGCATCTGGATCTTTGGTGGTATTAACGACGAGATGGAGAAGAGCAATGAGATCTGGTGGCTCGATCTCCGCGGCAGCCCAGAGTTCGATCACGCCATGAAGTATGGAACAGGCGACCGGCAACTCATCTCGTCCCGACATCGCTACCCTGTACCAGCGTCTGGTCAACTTGCGACCGGAAGTAGTGGTTATACTGCAAACTCGAGCGTCCAGTCATATCATGGCATGGGTTCAAGTCGCTCACCCTACGTTGCGCCTGGCTCCATCTCATCTCTCAAATTTCACTCCAGTCCGAACCTACCATCTCAAGCGGCGGGCACGCATTTCCACATCTTTTCATCCGGTTGCATGCTCGATTTCGTCACCCCGGCAGAGCTGAGCTGCGAGACAAGTTTGTCCAGTCTGGAGCTAGACACATTGCGATGGCAGAAGCTCGCCGACGGGAAGGACCTTTACAGCCCCAACTACCGCTGGCATTACTGCACGACCAATCCCGAAGGAACACATGCCTGGCTTCTAGGCAGCCCGATCGAGTCGGCGAATGACGGGAACCACAACGGCGAGTATCTAAGTGATGTCCTCGCCATCGACCTTCGGAAATATGGCATCCTGGGCAACGAGCTGGCCTCCGATACGCGCTCAAAGATGATGCCTTCTTCCGATGCGAATGTTTCTTCGCACCTGACCGGTATTGGTGCGGATCTTTCTCTAACTTTCGATCAACCACCCGAGAGCGGTAGCGGCGCAGACTTCATCATCACGGCCGATCCCGATGATGACGACTACGTGGATGTCGCCGTGCCAGA